GGTTGGAGGACATCGCTAGTAGGTTGGTGGCCATCACTATTAGGTTGGAGGCCATCGCTAGTAGGTTGGAGGCCATCGCTATTAGGTTGGAGGCCATCGCTATCAGGTCGGAGACCATCGCTAGTAGGTTGGAGGATGAGGCTACACAAGATGTCACTATCATGAATGGAGAAGCTGTACGGCCATCGCTATTAGGTTGGAGGCCATCGCTATTAGGTTGGAGGCCATCGCTAGTAGGTTGGAGGCCATCGCTAGTAGGTTGGAGGCCATCGCTCTTAGGTTGGAGGCCATCGCTCTTAGGTTGGAGGACATCGCTCCTTGGTTGGAGGACCTTGCCCTTGGGTTGGAGGACATCGCTCTTAGGTTACAGGCCATCGCTAATAGGTTGGAGGCCATCGCTGTTGGAACTGAGCGTCCTAGCTGTGTCCATAAGCCACTTAGTGCTGCGGTTCAGCTCTGCAGGATTCAGCTGGTTCAGCTCCCTTTTCGACCCCTGGACACGTCTTCCACCTCACGACTCTTGGAAGCAGCAGGCAACGGCGACCTTCCCAGCTTGCAGGCCTTGTTTCTTGGCATTTGCTTTTCAATGTTTCCAATATGTTTTCGCATTTTGTTCTTTTTTGTTTTCAACTAGCTCAATAAAGGCACACCAAAAAGCCGAATCTAGTCGAGCCGAAGCGTCCGAAGCAAGGTTGATGGAACCTCAAGACCCCGACCAGACGAATTGGATGGGGAAAACGGCCTTGTCTCAGGCAGCAGACAATCACCAAGTGGAAATCATGCGCATTTTGCTGCAAGCGATGGCTCATGTCAATCAAACGGATGAGGAGGGTGACCTGTCGGATCACTTCTCCAAAGACCAAACGGACCAAACGGACAATGTGCAAACACACGGCACTGGTGCATCACCCAAAGAATGTGGCTGATGTTGAAGTGGCTGGTGGTTTTCATTTTGTCTCACAGAAATGCGATTTGCAAAACCACATGTTATATAGCCAACAGGAAGGGACTGCAATCTGGGTCATGACACAGAACAGAAGACCAGATTGAACGGATAATTAATCGGGGTCTCTCTCCAATTATTCTCCATTCTGCCTTAGGTCGATCTCCACTCTGGATCGCTTCCCAACATTCCCAGCTGGATGCTGTGGTTTGTCTTTTGGAAGCTGCGGCAGACGTCGACCAAACGGACCACGCTGGCCAAACACCTTTGTGCCTTTGCTGAACTTTGCTAAACCTGGACGAATGCGATTCCTGGTGGTGCCTCACCTGATGTGCCTTTCCTTGGTCTTGAGCTGCATGTCAATTGATAATGATAGTTTCTTCACAGACCACACAAGGTACAGGGCAACATCTCATCAACACTCCTCGACAGTATTGAAGCTGCTGGAAGCCAAAGCTAGTGCCAACAAGTGCTGCCATGAAACCTCACCGCTTTGGAGCCTTAACAAAAGTCAGCAGCATTGGACAGTTGCCCTCTTTGTTTGTGGTTGTGAGTCTTCTTGCTTGTCCTCGTTGCGCCAGGATTGCCTGCCAGTCTGGAAATTCGAAAATCGTGCAGTTGCTGCTGAGTGTGGGCGCGGACAAGAACAAACTGGATGCTCAAGGCCGATCTCCTCTCTGGAGTGCTTGTGGTGCCCGTTTAGAGACGGACAACGTCAACACCTCCTTCGGTGACCATTTGGAAGCTGTGCGACTGTTACTCGAGGCCAGCGCTCACTGTGATACACCGGACGAGACACTTGGTGCTTTTGGCGCTTTTGGTGCTTGGCCGTCTGAGGCCGTCTTGGCCCAAAAAGACGTAATTACGCCTCGTCTATACTCTTCCTCCTAACGATGTGAAACAAAAGCGTCCAAAACTAGACGAGGTCGTTTCCAAGGAAGCACAGTTGCTCTAAGGAAGGGGCGATCGCCCCTGTTGCTTGCCTGTGAACGAGGACGTCTCAAAGCCGTTGGGCTCCTACTCACCGCAAGAGCAACTATCAGTCAACGTGATCACGATGGACAGTCTCCCTTGTTGGTGGCATTGCCCGAATTACCGAAACAACATGTTGAGTTTCCAATTCTGGTGTGTCTCTGGCTTAAGAAAGATTGCAGTTGTTAAAGGGTGCTCTTTGACTCACTGAGGTTGCATGCCAAGCAGGACACTTTGACGTGGCTCACTTTTTGCTCTCCGAATCTGCAGATCATAGCCAGATGTCGAAACGAGGAGAGACTGCGTTGATCCTTGCTGTGAAGCACGGACACCTCGACTTGGTGCGTGTTCTGTTGGAAGCGAGAGCGGATTTTGATAGACCAGACATCAATGGCAAGTCGCCCTTGTCCCTTGCGCAAAGCTGGCAAGTTGTTCTGTGTGGTGAGTTGCGCCTTTGTTGACCCAGAGTCCATAGACTGTAGCCGGATGCAGTTAGGTTTACCGCTTGCCAATATGGACATGCTGCGGTGTCCTCCGTCCTGTTGAGTGCTGGCGCAGAGAAAGACGCAGCCGACGGTGAAACTCCCACATGGATCGCGTCCCGATCCGGCGCCTCAACGCCATAAACGAGAAAGGAAGAACGATAAGAAAAGATAAGACATAAGAATAAGGAATCTAATAGCGATGGCCTCCAAACTACAAGCTGTGGCCTCCAACTAAGAAAAGATACATATTTTCTGTTTCCGAATTGAACCTGGCCTTTTCCTCAAGGCCATGCAGATGTGTTGCGCATTTTGTTGGCAGCTGCTGCAGATGTTAATCAAGCGGCCCAGGGTGTTTCTCCGCTGTGGATGGCAAGCCGTGCAGGTCATGTGGAATCAGTGGAGGTTTTGCTTCAGCTGGCTGACAAAGAGCGAGCAGACTGTGATGGCATTTCCTATGAATTGAACTGTCGAACCTTATTTCTTTTGACATGTTTGTCTGGAGTGACATGTTTGACATGTGTGTCTTCTGTCTTATCGCAAAACCCCGTTTTGAGGCAAGACGCCACTGTGGATCGCTTGCTGCGCTGGGCATGCTGAGATCGTCCGAGTTCTCCTCGACGCCTCGTGCCGTTTAGAAGCAGACCGAAGCGGGCGGACGCCCTTGGCTGTGGCCTCCGAGTTTGGTCACGTGGACATCGTGCGCCTGTTGACGCGTCGCCGAAGGGAACAGGATTGGAAGGAAGAAGTGAGTGAAGCAAGTCCGTTGATGGCAGCTGCCCGTGAAGGACACCACGCGGTGGTCGTGGCTTTGTTGGAAGCTGGGGAGGATGTGAATCAAGTTGACCGAAAACGGAGATCTCCTTTGTGGATGGCCTGTCAATCTGGTCGCATGACCCAGTAGAGCCATTGTTGATTTTTGAAAAAAAACAACCACCACAATGAAACATCTTTTCCCACGACATAGAGGATGATTGAAACTTGCTTGTCAACTACAAAAGACATCTAGAATTTTCCACACCAATGCAACGGCAGTGCAGGTCACTTGCAAGTGGTCCGTTGCCTCTTGAAGGCATTTGCTGGCTTGGACCAAGCCACCTATGAGGAGGAGACGCCTCTCTTCACTGCAGCCCTTCAGGGTCACAGCGACGTGCTGAACACACTACTCGAGGCAAAAGCGCAGAAGGACAAGACTAACAAGGACGGCAAGTCACCACTCTGGATTCTCGGCAGTTCTTGGAATCTGAGATCTCAGCAGTTTCGCAAGGGGAATCAACATGAGTTCGTTTCGACAAGAACTGAACACCAAGATTTTGTTGTCCACTTGTTCTAAGTTGATGTGAATTCTTGCATTGCGTTTAGGATCTCTTGCCGCCTTGGTCACATGAACGTCCTTGATGCTTTGCTGGAGCACACTGCGTGCGATGCTGCGAAGGAACTCGACCAACCGGAGAACCAGGGCCGTGCGCCGCTTTGGATTGCTGCACGCGTGGGACACCATCGGGCAGTGCAGAGCTTGCTGAATGCCAAGGCGGAGAAGGACCGTTTTTGAAAACTTTACATCTTGACAGGAACAAGAAGCTACTAGGAACAAAGGGCATCGCCACTAGGAACAAGAAGCTATTAGGGGCTCCTGGCATCGCTACTAGGAGCAAGGACGCTATTAGGGGCTCCTGGCATCGCTACTAGGAACAAGAAGCTACTAGGGGCT